TGTTTAAAAATAGAAAATTAAATTATACAATACACTCAAAAATAATAAAAATACATAAAACACTTCACTTAAAAAAATATATAGTGGAACTATGTGTTACTTTTGCAAACTACAAAAATAAGAGGGAAAGGAAGATTGGGTTGGAATCCAATCCCCATTCTAACACGACCCACTGCATTGGGTTGGAGATGTATTTATAAATCCTACGTCGTTGTTCTTTTTAAGATTTGAATTTTATGTTAAGAATTTGAATATTAAAATTTTTAATTTGAATAGTTTTACAATATACAGGACGACTCTTATGAGCAACTCCTCGGACCCCTAATTGAGAGTCTCCATATTTTAAAGTATTATCTATTAGTGTTATTAAGCTTTAAATTTTAAAATTAAATTTTAATTTTTTGTTTATATATTTTTCTTCTTCTTCTTCGTAATTATCCAATTTAATTTTAAAATTTAAAATTTAAACTCTAATAATATATTTCTATCAGTCTTCATAACTATACATCACTCTATTTTCTTAAATTCAATTATAATCTACACTTCTTTAATTTACATCCTGTCACACTGCGTCCACCCACTCAAACTAAATCCGCCTCACATTCTCTCTTTAACCATCTCTCAGTCCTTGCTCTTTGAACTTTCGGATAGTCCGTCTTTCATCATTTTTTTTTTCTCAAATTGACACTGCCTAGACCGTCACATTCAACCTCTTATCCAATCGACGCCCATCAGTGATATTATTTTGAAAATAAATTTTAATCATGTGTTTATAGGGCCTAATTAATTTTTGCTCAGGCCCCAAAAAAAAGTCCAGCCCCGACAATAGATGTTGATGTTATGATTTAAATGTAAAATTGATTTTTATTATAATATAAAAATAAAATTTGAGTATTTAATTTAATATTTTTGGGAAAATTTTTTTTTATAAGTAATACTCTTTGTGTTCCGTAAATTTAGAATATTTGAGTCTGAATAAAAATTTTAAAAGTTAATATTATATTGAAAAAGTCATAAAAATAAAAATATAGTTTGAGTTATTTTTGAAAATTTAGCTAAAAATTAAAGAAAATGATGAGATAAAAGATAATAAAGATAGTAACGTTTGTTGTAAATAAGTATTGAATGAAAAAAAATAATTAAATATTAATTTGTTGACTTTGTCAAAATTAATAATAAGATAAATTTAACAAACAAATTAAAAACTAAAGCGATAGTACTTTTGACGGACCAAAAAAAAAAAAAAAAAAAAATTTGTTTGGGTTAAAACTCTAAAAAAAATCCTATCAATCTTTGCTGACAGTTGTACATAAAGCTTAGAAAATTGTACATTCTAGAATATTGTAGTGGAATTATTAGCCCATAAAAAGAACCTCCACCCTTTCACTTGTATTTCACTAAATTTTTATTTACCACCCAAGCCCTCAAATTTCTCTCCATATTTTTAGAGTTTTTGTAGGTGTTTAGAGCATATACAATACTCTTTTCAAGAACTTCTATGCCTGTATGGAAGCCTTTTCATTTATGCCAAATAAAAATAGTCCAAATATTTAAGTTAAAAAATGGATATAGTATGAAAAGACTGCCGTGCAGTTCAAGCTCTATTGATGTTTTTTTCTCTTTATTTTTGTTCTCTTATTTGAAAATACAAAATCAACGGTCCAAAACATTTTTGTCTCTAAATCTATGAATATCCTTCCCTCTGCATCCGGGCAAGCGAAATTAAAGAAACAAATCCAATGGCCTAATTTTAAAAGTGAATATATAGAGGCCAATGTGTCAGATTTGGGGCCGTTTGGATTGACTTAAAAAATAAGCAAAGCAGAAACAGAAGTCAGAAACAATTCAATTTTGTGTTTGGATGAATTATTATAAAAACAACTTTTCATAACGAACTGTTTTAATGTAAATAGAGTTGAAAGTGCTTCTAAACCGTTAAACTTACTCAAAAGAACATGTTGTTGATATAATTGTATTTTTCTGTAAAGTTATATATTTTTAATTATATTCAAATATTTTAAATAAAAGTATAGAAAATATATTTTTAAAATTTAATTATTTATATTTTAAAATTTAAATTTAAAGAAAATATATAAATTAAAAATAAATTTACAATATAATAGGAGTATTAAATTATTCATATTTTTTAATTTATTTTAAAATTTTATAACTTCAACTCTTTCATTCATATTTATTAAGAAACAGAACATGTACTTATATGCATACATACGCAGAAATATACAAAGACTGTTATTTAACAAACTAAATAAAAACTGTGCAACAAACTTTGACACATAACAAATTATTGTTATGATCTTGAGCTCCTGGAGTCACCAAAAGAAAATGAAGGCCATGGACGTATTAGATTCTCACGTCTGCATGTCTTTGTCTCTGCATGAATTTAATCCATGACAGTCCCCCTAAAAATGTTCAGCAGTGCTTGGGATGAACATTGTGGACAGTAGGTTATGTAAGATCGGTCCAGAGAGACCTTTTGCGAGGATGTCTGCAAGTTGGGACTTGGTGGGTATGTATTCGATTTCGAACAACTTGGCTTGCACCTTTTCCCGAACAAAATGAACATCCAAATCGAGATGCTTTGTCCGATCACGATGCATATTACCACAGTGAAGACAAGTAAGATCTCGACGTCCAGAGATTTTCGAATATTTCCAATAGTCATGGTTGTTGCATCGATCCATGATGGAGGAACTAAACGACGCATTGAAAGCTTCATCCAGGGTTGGGATTGGTCTTTGATTCAATAGCCGAGATCTAATGGATGCATATTGTTCCTGCAAGCCATTAAGAAAACTGATAAAGTAAATCTTCTTCTTGTTGGATCATGTAAGCTTGGAAACACTCTCCATTACACATCCCACACGGGCAGTGTGGCGGTGGTCGATAGTGTCGCACCTCTTCCCAAATGGGCCATAATCTTGGTATAATATGTGTCCACCTGTGTCTATTCCTTGCACCAGTTTGCACAGTTCTCCATGAAGACGACAAATGCGATTGTCCTCGGCAGCTGAGAATCCCGCGTGCAAAATTTTCCAAATGTCTTGCGCCTTAGGGATGTAGAAGACTGTAACCCAAGCTCCTCGATTCGGACTCGTGACCTCAGGCTCCTTGATCTTACCATCAAGAAAACCAATTTTTTTTCTGATAGATAAAGCGAGAAGAAATGGTATGCTCCATGTTGGATAATTCGATCCCGTCAACACCGGCTGGATGTTAACTGTGTTGTCTGTGTCATTGGAGGCGATGTAGAATGGGGATCCGGACGTTTCATCCAAGACAACGTCGGTTTCTTACTCTGATACCATGACAAAAGAGAAAGGAAATCTTGAAAAAATGAAGAAGATGAAAGATTTTGTAGTCACAGAAGGAGAACTTCTCCTCTTTTATTCACATTTATTAAGAAACAAAACAGGTATTTACATGCAGATATATATATACAAAGACGTCTAACAAACTAAATAAAAATCGTACAACAAACTCTGACACATAACAAATTATTGTTATAATCTTGAGCTGGTGGAGTCACCAAAATAAAATGAAGGCCATGGAAGAACATCTGATTGCATATTAGATTCTCACGTTTGCATGTCTTTGTCTCTCTATAAATTTAATTCTTGATGCTTCTATTTAAATTTGGTATTCAATTATAATCTTTAATTTTATTCAAGTATAATATATATATTAAAAATAATAATATAATTATATATTTTTTTAGTTTTTTTAAAATGTAATATATAAATTAATTATTTTTATAATAGATTATAGTATTATATTTATTATTATTATTATTAAAAATAAAATATTAATTTTAACTTAAAAATGTTTTTACTTGTTTCAAAAGCTACTTTCACAATAGAAAGAAACACTTTTTTTCAATGTAATAAGATAAAATAACAAATGGGCCATGGCCATGGAAGGAATTGTGGCTTTTTTAGGCCAAAAATCAGAGATGGATAAATTTACCGAATATATCAGGGATGGATAAATTTACCGAATAAAATCGAAATATCGACTTATCGTACCGTATCGTGTCGAAAATACTGAAAATTTCGGTACGGTATAGATATCGTACTGAAGTTTTCGGTACGGTATCGGTATAAATTTTTGGAAAATTCGGTATTTCGGTATGATATCGTACCGATATTATTTTTATTAAATCATTTAATTATTAATATAAATAATAATTATTAATATTTTTTTAAAATTATAACAAAAAATACGTAAACTATTGAAAATTTATTGGTTTTTTTCATAATATTTTCGTGGTGGAGAATAGTGATATTTATTAATTTTTTTAATTATTTTGAAATTTAAAATTATATTTTCGGTATAATCGATATATACCGGTATCTACCGAAATCAAAATTTTCGGTATAAGCTGTATATACCAGTATCCTACCGAAATTGAAATTTTTGGTATAAACGATATATACCGGTATCTACCGAAATCAAAATTTTCGGTATAAGCTGTATATACCAGTATCCTACCGAAATTGAAATTTTTGGTATAAACGATATATACCGGTACAGTACCGAAAATTTCGATATATCGAATTAATTCTGTATATTGAAACTTTTGGTACGATACCGATATGTATTTTAGTCATACCAAAAACTTCGATACGGTATCGGTATCGCTATCGACCGGTATTTTCAGTACGGTACGGTATGCCATCCCTAGGCAGAATTGCTAAAAGACACAAGGCTAGATCGGATTGAAATTAACTCGTACAAGTTTATGTATTTTTCTACCTATTAAATTCAATTATCTCAATTTCTCCACATAAAAATAATAATGATACAAAATAGAGAACTAAAATGAAATTTTCAATCTCAAAATCATAAATCCAAACAAATTTAAGAAAAAATATATTTATTTCCCCATTTTCCCGTTCCGAGCACCTCTCTTCCACACATCACACAACAGTAACGCAGCAAAGCTACAAAAAAATGTTGTAAGAAAACAAAAACTTCAACTGTGATAGAAAGAAGCAGACATGCCATTTTATTTCATCATGTTTCCCTTAAATGATACAAAGGCTCCAAATTCACCATACCAAACATACACACACAATGCATTCTTATACCTGAATCAATCAGAGAGTAGAGCCCTGCTGAGTTACATCGCCATCGTCGTCTTTTCTCGAACTGCCCAGCCATTGCTCGAGTTTCGCTTCCCGATCAGCCTTAAACTCTTCGTAATTCTCATACAAGGACACCAGTTCTTGCTGCGACAAGCTTTTACCAATAGGCGATTCTTCCTCGAGTTCGCTTTCATTTCTGCTCGACAATGGCAGATCTTCTACCTCCGAATCGAGCTTTGCTGCAGAAGAACTATTTCCTGAATTTTCGACCTTGGAATGACTCGATTCTGCAGACTCAGTTTGAACCCACTTGAAGTCGTTGGCCCGTTGCTTCGCCGACTTCAATACGCTCGAAAGGTATCCGCCGCTTGATCCATCGTCGAACTTTGGATTACGGCCCCATGTGGTGGACGGGGTCCATGACCGAGTTCTTGCAAGAAAACTTGGGCTGGAGGCTTGGATCAAACCCCGTTTCGGTTTTTTTAAGGACATGATGGATAAGGATTTTTTTATTTCTTCGATCATCCCATCAGCTATCGGAAAACCACATTCCTTCATTGATCTTACCATAAGGATCGAATCCTCGAGATCTTCTGTATGCAAAGATGTCTCGTGGGATTTTTCAGCGACGTTGTTCTTGAGATTGATGAGGTTGGGAGCTGCGTTTTGGGTGTGCTGTTGGACGTAGAATAGCCCCACGGAGGGTTCGTTAGCCACAAATTTGATCATGTCTGCTAGATCTTCGGTTACTTCCACAAAACCTTCGCCACTGGAAAAATCACGCATTTTTGGAAGGCAATCGGCTCCTCATCACTGGTACACGATATAAAGATTTTAAACTAGAGATCAAACAAAGAAGACGATAAAGAAACAACTGTAATTGAAATAAATTGCATATTACATCATTATGCAAATTGAAACACAATAATTTTTCGAAGAAATAAATAGAAGAAACAACAGCAAATGATGGGCGAAAAAAGAATATGTCGATCCAGGGGTTTAATAGACTTAATTGTGGAATTGTACCCGTCAATAGAAACATTTGATTACTGTAATTTTTTCCAAGTGTACGGAATATAAAGTAATATTCGATAAATTTTTTACCAAAGGGATAGAAGCATTGAGCCAAGTTTAATTGACCCACCCTTGTGCTTTGTAGAAACTATTTAATTAAAAACAAAGTCAAAATTTCTTATAATTCACATGTAGTTGAAAAGTCTTCACCGGTGTTTTAAAAAATATTGCACAGAATCCCTTATTTAAGGGAATTCTATGCAATGTTCTAGAAAACACATTTAGAGTGTGTTTGTTTGGGGGATTGGATTTTAAATATACTATTCATCCCATTTTTTTCCCCAAAAACATCAAATCAAACACCTATTTTTTATTTTTTATATTATACTAAAAATCAATTTTACATTCAAAATATCACATAAACACTTATTTATATTACATCATACAAATATTCAAATTCAAAATTTTTACTATTCAAATCCCAACTCAAAATCCAAACCCCCAAACAAACACACCATTAAGGGATTTTGTGCGATCATGCAATATTTTCTAAAACACAAAGGAGCCTTAGTCAGTATCTAAATTACGAAGGAGAGTTGTGCAAAATTTTCAAACCACAAATGAGTTATAAGCAAAAATTTACCAAAAAGGAGAAAGGAAAAAGGCCACAACAGGAAGTAAATTGGACTATTAAAAAGAAAAATCACAGGGTATTTCAGTGGGCTTCACTACAGGTTTTTATAACATTTTGTCACAAGAAGTTGATTTAAATTCAATTAAGAAATGGATGGATTTCAAAAAATTCCCTGCATAGAGCTATTCTAATGAAAATGCCAAGATCGTGTTTGTTTCTAGGTCAGTTGTTTCCCTACAATAAATGCAAATGTTATGACTCATTTCTTTATTTGTAAAACTAGAAAAAGACAAGCTGTCAAAAGAACTTAAAGACAGCTTTTACACTAAATGTACATTGTCGTCAAATATATTATGCAATGATATTTCACATAACTAATTACAAGCAGACAAAAAAGGTAATCAGATTACGAGGGAATCCATAAACAGGAAACTTGTCGATCCAGAGCCGTATAAGTTCCACTCTCAATGATGAATTGATTTATAAATAGAATAGAAATAAATAAAGGGCTAGACAAATGATTGGTAACTGAATTTGCTCGGGGCGTTATTCTATATCCAAATGCACTTAAAAGCTGTCAACCAAACTGAATTAAGTTGAGTTTAGAAAGTTTGAACTCGACTTGAGAAGAGCTTAATTACTTGTTTAAGTGAATGGTTTAAAATGTTCTTGAAAAAACTTGACAAAAAGCTTTTAGCTCAGTCTTCTTCCAAGAACCGTGCAATACGTCCGGTTGGATTAAAAGATTAGAAGAATATACAAAATCGGATTGTCCCACACAACCGAAACTACCACAAAACCTTTACCACATATAAATTTTCTAACTGTTTGTCGTCTTAATCCATGAATTTATTTAATTCTCAAAGAAATGAAAAATGTTCGAATTTTCATTCCAAACACAAGTTCTCCATCATGAAAATATGAGTAAAAATATGTGTGTTGGTCGGGGTTTTCCCCAAGACTTCCACGTCAATACCTTTTATATCACATTAAACAACTATTCAAATTAAAAAATTTGACTATACAAAATCGAAACCCAAATTCAAACTCCCAACGGAACACACCCCAAGCAGATATGCTTTATAGTTAGCATCAACTGTTATACAAACTTTTACCTCTACCATAAGATGGAGATCAAGATTCTTTACAAGGTCCCTATAGATTACTTGAAAATATTTTAGACCACACTTTCTTGGATTTAACATATTCTTACGAAAATCTAGCAATCCGAAGTACACGCAAAACATATTTTAGTCATAACACTGCAATATTCAAATTTTTAGCTTCAAATAAAGAAAAGTAAATGATATAGGTGTACCGAGGATAATTTTTCCAGATTTCAGCTTCACTATAAGTTGCTCAAATTTAGTATAAGAACCTAATGCAAGATAAGTTCCATTGAGATCATAAAAGGATTCAATTTCAAATTTGGAGAGAACAAAAACATAAATGTAAACCAACAAGTACACAAAATCACAGCATCTACCAAATAAACATTAGTTAACCAGCAAGATTCCCCATACATATCAACATATTACACTTCTTAAACAGCAATGGAAATATGATCAAAGATCAATACTTAGAAGTCCTGGTAAGAACAAGCACACATCCAAATCCTTGTCCAAATCATGGTCATCTATTCAATCAATTGATGACAGCATCGAATTACAATTGAGCAAACTTAAACGCCACGAAACGCACAAATTAATAGAATCGCATACAAACAAAATCGCAGAAAAGGAAAATTAGAAAAAAACTCACCGATTTCTATTGCGAAATGGGAAGCCCGTCAACAATTGACATTTCAAAACAGCTCAATCCCCAAGCTTTGTACACAAAATCACAACCTGCCCAAAATCAGAACTCAATTCTTGAAATGTTGATAAATTAGTACTTAGCTACATGCAAGTCTGGAAGTCAATTTAAAGAATGGAAAGGAAGACATGGTTACTGGAGGATCTGTCAAATTGCTGGTTGAAGAAAAGGGATCGGATAATTATTCAAATCCGGAATCGGATGATGATTTTTCCCTCTTGACCTTTATTTGATGAATGGGAAAGCGGTGGATCAATTATCAGAGTTGAAAATTTAGGGTTTATTTGTGAGGCCATGAACGTCGATTTCAGGTACCTTACGCTTCTTTTGTTGTACCTTCAATTCCAGTGTTGTACCTTCTGCATTGTTGGTTTTTCGCCTTTTTCTAGATTTTTATTTAATTTCATGGACAGCAGTAATTTGTATATACGGCTATATAAATACAATTGTAGAAGATAAAAGAGGTCTGGCTATGGCTTCTTCACTTGTTTCCCACCAAAATGTCTTCTTTCAATTCCATCCTTTTCTTCCTTCCCTTCCCATACAGTCAAACTCTCTCAACAAATTTAATCCAACCCTGATTAATTCATCACTGCGCTGTGCTAACAGCGTGAAGCTCAAGCTTAAATGCCAAATTTCAAGGGCTTCTTCTGAAGGTATTTTCCAGTTACCCTTACTATTAATTACTTCTCATTCTTCCAGTCGATTGCTGCTCGAATTTTACATTCGAAATTTTTGGTTGCATTGAACCATTTTGCACCCCTTGATAATGAGTTGCTAGCTGTTAATGGAAAGCTGATTGTCTAATTGACCGGTTCATTTGCTGTGTTGAGCTTTTTAGAGGAGTTAGCTGTTTAGCAGTGCCGTTTATGTCATCTAGTTTGTGTTTGTATGCTTGGAGTTAGAGCTCATGTTATGAGATATATGTATTAGATTACAGTTTTCAATGGATCAGGATTGTGCCAGTACCGTGTGGTTTTTGGTATAGAATTTTTTGACATTTAGGTAGTATTCAGTTCAGGAGTTTCTTCTTCTTCATTCACTCAGAATACATACAGTGAACTGGTATTATGTCATCTAATTGCAAGTAATCAGGTCAACAAGGAGTGTAAGTCAGGTTCGAATTGGTATGCATTGCAGAGTCAAGTCGCAGCAGAAAATTTCACTATTATTCTATATATGTAGAGCTGTTATCTAGTCGAAATGAGCGAGTTTTTCATGTTTGAGTTTAGCTCGTGTTTGTTAGTTAAGAGATGCAAGCAGAAATTATGATTTGAGCTCACCTCGTTAAATAATCTTTTTGTTAACTCAGACTCGACTCATTAATAAGATTTTTTATTTATTTCATTTGAATTTAAATTCAATTAAATTTATTGATAAATTTATATAAAAATTTAGAATTAAGTATAATTTTATATAGATATATTATTAAATATAAAAATGAATTTAATTGTTCTAATAATACTAACTTGAAGGAGCTCGAGCTCATTTGTAAATAATTTATTTATTTTAGCGAACGAGCTTTTAACAAACACAAACAAGCTGAATCGAGCTGAGCTAGCATATAATTCATTTGTTATACAACTCTATATATATGACCGCACTCAACCTCGAAGTATGGTGGAACGTGATTGTGATTCCGAAATGTTCTTGGCTGGATTAGGCGTGATACCCCCATGGAAGCTCAACTTTGAATAAGTTATGACTTATGTTAATTAACCGTCTCACCTAACAGCTTAATCTTGAAGAGATACACATTATTTATTTATATACAAAAGAATAAACCAACACTTTAGATGCCCACTTATCTCCCATGACCACATTCCTAGAAATGGAAAAAATCTGGCTAACTTCCTTGCAAAATGTGGAGCTGTGAATGAAGATGACTTTAACTCAAGGCTATTACCTACTGTAAATCTAATCCAGCCCATATGTTTGGATCTTTCGGGCATGCTTCAGTTTTTGGTTTTCATTTTTCGCTTTCTAAATTTATTTAGCTATATCTCTAATAAAATCTCCCTACCGAGAAAAAGTAATTTCTATGTCCAGTAATAGCACAAGAACACATAAGGCACTTAATTTTAATACTATGGATTCCATCAACGTTTGTAGGGCTAATCTTGAAGGTAGGTTATATATAGGAGGAAAATATTCTCTATTTTCACAAATGTGTCAAGTAGATCCAAGTCTACCCCGGCCCACTCTTTTACATTAGCTACAATCTTTGTGTAAGAAGTGGAAAAGACTACTATACCGATCCTCTCTATTTCCTAAAGAATTCATCCTTGGAAAAAGTACAGTCTTCTTTGTCATTTCTCACCTCCATTCCCAAATCTAAGTATGTACAGAATGTATGACATAATTTTATAATCTGGTATCTCACATTAATGCAGCATATGCACAAAATCACGTCTAAAGTGCAGTCATAGTATCTATTTTCAACTATATGCTGGGTGTGCTTGTATATTGAAACATAGATTTGAGAATGTAAGAAGTTTCTTAGACGTTCTCCTTGTCCCTATCTGCCTACATGCTTTTATATTCTACATATTCCCGAAATGTATTTCTTGCTACACATTCTACAGAACTTCCAGCTGAGTTGATTGAGGATTCCAAGTTTGTCCCCTTGAATTCTGAGGATCCGAAATATGGACCACCTGTAAGTTCTGGTCAGTCCTACGCCATTTGTTCTTTATATTGTTGTCTTGACATTCTATATTTTAGAAGAAATGAATCAACTGATTCAAACACACTTATGGATGACTTCAACGAGTCATGGGATACAAGAATTGAGTTTCACAGGTCTTTAATTTTTTCAGGCATTGTTGTTACTGGGGTTTCAAGTGGAAGAGGCAGCAGAGGTAATGTTACATATGAAGCATGTCTACAATTATGGGTGGTGTAATAATCCCATCCCATGAGTTATTTTAAAAGGATGGGTCATTTTTCAAGGACTTTTATCCCTTTCTAATCACTTAAAGTAAATACAGCCATGACGTGCAAACTTTCTTATCATGCAAATGTGAGGTTGAATATGCAGTGTTGATTTTCATCCATAATTATTTCATTTCTCATTTCTTCTTCTCCATCAAAGTAAATCTTCCTTACTGCTTGTATTATTTCTAGTACAAAAACTCTGGCATTCTAGAGATACCTCAACTGTGTACTGAACTATAACTCTCAGTCGATCAGGCCACATTTAAATGTGCATCTTTGGAGTTAATGAAGTACTATCCTATCTTGTGAAATGATTTTTTGGCAGATACAACAGCTTCTGAAGGAGTTGGATGGTGAATTTCTCAAGGTATTTATTAATATTCATTTCACGATTTCACCAGTGCTACGTTATTAGCGGTTCCCTTCTGTTATTAATCAGGCAATGCAGATTTTGAATGTAATTCTTCATTGTTTTTATATCACTAATTTTGTAATATTTAGAAAATAGCCTATGCAAAATAATGTCTCTACCCAAAAACTTAAGCTTTTAAAATATCAATTATTAAACTATTCTTACAGGATACTAGAACTAAATGATTGTGATTTCAAAATCCAACCTTGTGTATATACAACAGGATTACATATTCCGTATTTTACTACATTAGTAATACATAGTATCTTGAAAGTGAACATTTTAAAAGAAGGTGGTTCTCCTTGTGGATATTTGGTTTTGATATTGTTCTGAAGCAACTTTTTATTATGCATTTTGATGCTATATATATCACAATGGTGCATATAAACGTGTAGTCATATTATCGAACTCTACTACCTTGTTCACTGGCTCATATTATAATGAGGCAGTACACCAAGTTTTCATTTATTCTTTTCATATTTCGTGTGTTAGTTTGTCCTTGAACTGCTCCGTGCATTCTATTAGTATCTGTTTCCAGTGAGGGATCCGTACAGTTTAGATAGTTATGATCTTTTACGTGTCGAGTGGCGATTTTTATTGGCCAATCTTTTTAAACACAGGTTATATTTTGTACGGAAGACATGATTGACCGTTCGCTCTGGGAAGCAGTGACTGCTGAACAATCAAATCTTGATGTATCAAAGGTTAGTTTATCAACGCCCAAAAGCTACATTTTACAGAGACATAACTCAAAATGAAATTAGGATAAATGAATCCTACCTTCATTTAGACAGCTTGATAGCAGAATTAGCACTTGATACATATATGTGTGTGTGTGGATGTAAATATTTTTATGTCAATGATAGCTGCCTCATCTAATGACCTTTGGTAGTTCTAGGTTGGATTTCTAATTCAGTGCTTATCCACTTCAAGTTATGTTTCAACCCATAAAAATCAATACCCAATGTTCTAAATACAGTGCTTTTAGTTCTGTTGTCAATCTTAATATTAGTATCAGTTATAACTTTTTGAACCCACCAAAAAAGTTATACACATGCTGAACATGTGAGATAATATCTTCATTAGACATCTGAGGGTTGTTCCTTATGTTATATACAATGTTAAACATGTTGCGATGACGCTTTGACATGTGGATAATTCCTCATTGGTGCTAATTTCAAATTAACTTCCTATTAAATGCAATAGACAAAATTATCCATATCTCTCATGTGGTTTCGAAACTCATAGTAAATTCTCCTTTTACTTTAAAAATTACGTGCCCTCCCTTATACTTTTAAAAATGTTACATGAAATTCCTTTGTAATTTCGAAACTCAATGTAAATCTTCACTTTATTTTAAAAATTGCATGGCGTCCCTTATACTTTAAAAAAAATTGCATGACATCCTCCGTCGTGCAAAAAATATAGATAGGAATTTATCTTTAGGTAACGTGGATTGGCTAGGGTCTTCTTTGGCTAATGAGACCTCGATCCTGAAGCCTTCGGAGTATCTTCTTGATAGGCGCTGCAAACAAGAATTCATAGGTACATACCACAGGAGAATTCACTCAGCATCAACAGGTTTCATGGCGGTGGGTTTTCATGCAATATTTTTGAAAGTATAAGAGGTGTTATGCAATTCTTAAAGTATAGAGAAATTTTACGCTAAATTTCGAAATCACATGGGAGATATGAGTAATTTTACCGATGCAATATGTACATAAAACCATGAACAAAAAAAAAATAGGAGTAAAGACTAACCTTTTGCTTTTTCAAAATTGTTGGGAGTTTCTACAAACAACAAGGGGATTTTGGGTGATATATATATATATATATATATCCACACACATAAGTGTAATTTGCAATTTATGGTTAATATTACTCTCTGTCATTCTCTTGTACTTCATCTTGTTCTGTACGGTTTGAGATGCACCTAAGATTTAACAACCAGATGTAATGATTTGAGCTATTCTGCCATCACAGGTTGCAACATGGCTCCCACGAATTTGTTTCTTGTCTGGTCTTAATGGGGAGGAGATGATGATGTTCATCGATGCCTTTGAGGAAACTGGTAATAAATATTCAATCTGAATCTGGCATTAAATCAAAGTTCTTAGTACACTAGACATAAAATCAAAGTTCTTATTATGATTTGACATTTGATAATAGTGATGCAAGCTTGAGAATCCAGTCTATATATACTTGATTGATCTTTCAATTTGGTATATAGGAATATATTGTTTCAAACAATCCTTGCTAAATCTCATGGGTTCAATCTATGTAGGTCTGGAGCAGCCAGTGTTTGCTGCCCTGGTCCCGAATAGTGCTGAAAAACCTTTATCGGAGCTGATAGAAGAGATTATGGGCGACCATGAGATGCTGGTAAGTCCACATTTGATTTGATCGGAGTTTACCAATATAGTATTACCTAGTAGCTTCTCTGCATTTACAACTTCTCTTTGATCATGTCTATAGTCTTCAAAGAAAAACGAGTGAAGTAGAGAAGACACTAATCGAATTGATCAGGGACTGCCCGGAGTTGTTCTTTCATTTCGACAAAAGTTGTTCTACTTGTCCATTTTGCACAGGTGCGATTTCCTCTGCATATAATGTCGTTAGGCTATTTCTAAAAGTGCAATTGCTACGGTATTTTTATTCTAACCAAGAATTATATTTTTTACTCTAAAAAAATACTATTCAAATATTCTATATATTGTCCGGTCAGATGACCGCTTTGGTTAGGATGCGGTACTTTAGATTAATAAGTTATGATATTATTTTACTATTTTTTATATGGATAGTATTGTTGTATTTTTAATATATTTTTAGCATTATATCTCAATAAAATATGTGTAAAATCTGAAAATAAATGTGAATTTTCCACATGTAAACCAAAATATGCATGTCATATACAAATATGGTAATTTACCACTGCTTATATAATAATATGTGGTGAACGGCTTTGACATGCACATGCACCTTTTGAGACAGTTGGACAATTTTTCCATTCACAGTCATACCTGAAAAACCACGATATTTGCTAATATGAAATAGCTTCATAATATCATTAGCATTTGGTGATTTAAGATATTGCTCAAAAAAAACTTAAACCACAGCACGACAAAATCTTTTTACTTTCTCAATGACCGTTTATTCGTCTATTTTAACATATTAGTCAGCTGCATATGTTGTTGTACCAAATGCTAACATGTGAAATACAATCGTTGCTTTATGAAAATGCGGCAATCTACGACAATTAAGTCCATCGTATTGTTGTTAAAATATGTATCTTATTGTTTAATTGCATCAATAATAGGAAGAATGAAACTTCGAGACATTCGATAACGTCGGGGAAAGGTTCCTTCGTCAAATACTGGGTTAGGTGCAAACTAATTATTAAATAAATTACGATTAACAACTCTATGACCTAGAATATACCTACGATGAGTTGGTGGTTGTGTATTGAGAAGACGATCGAGATAAATACTACTTTGCTCGATAACTGAGGTGACTATCTTCGTACAATCGTGGGTACATGCTAGAATGTGTTGGCCGATTGTTTCCGACGAAGATGTCGATAAAGAATAACTTTGAGCTACCGCATTCGAAGGCCCTCCAATTTTATAACTTATTTCTACCATAGATCAAATATTTTGATATTGAATTGAAGTATATAATATATGCAACAAATGTAACAATTTATAGACGAACATGATAGGTAGATCCAACGGCTATAAGTTGTTGAGATTGTTTAGGGATTTATTTGGATCTATAAATAAAAGGTTTTGTTTTATATCCTTTTATATCACATTTGTGTAAATTTTTTTTTTTTTTTTATTTAAAAAAAAGATCTTCTAAACTTGTTGATTTATCAATGTTGAAATTCAATCGCATATTGAGAAACTTTTTGAAATTTTTTAAAACTTAATTACATGTACTAACCAAACATCTGTAGTGTGACTGAAGGCCGCAGACGAAAAAATTGAGTTGCACGTAATTTTCAATTTGTTCAGACTTAGATGGGTAAACTACATGAAGAAGTCAAACAATTTCTTACATGTGTGAATAAAGTCAATAATTTGTATTGCATTGGTGCGTTGAAATTGAATATAGTAATTATTTTTTTTACTTTTATTATTTTCATAAATTTATTATACTAACTATAATTTTTTTTTTTTTTTTCAAATAAGAGACACTAGACAAATATTTGTAAAAAAAAAATAAAAAAAGTTTTAAAGGTACTTATCTTTATGATCAACTAAAAGAGATCACAATTAATGTTTTCCCCGTAGAAAAATATTTTGAAAATGTAATGCAACACATGTCTCGTCATCATCGGAACATCCAACTTCCGATTCTCCCACACTGACTTTATTTTCTATTCATTTAAATGAATGCTAAAGGATTCTTGTTCAATTTTATAGATAATATTTTGGTAATTCTACGGAAACATGCATGTCCTACGGAAATTAAAAAAAAAGGTCTAAATTGAAAACAAAATCGATGAAACCTTGCATTTTGATGTTGAACCATATTAAGCAACACATCACAAGTTATTGAAACTGTAAACAAATCATATGAACAAATTAACAACTACAATAAGCTTGAAAAACAAAATTTAGAATATAAAGTACTTAAAACGTGAGAATAAAATTATGTCAATAGATCTTAATATTGTTCCAAACACAATCATCATAGTTATATTATAATCAACACCAAGAGATCATAAGAAAAAAAAAAAAAAAAAAAACAATACCAACTTAATTCAACTAGTTTGTACTCGTATTTTTTTGATGACATTGATGAAAGTGGTAGTAACGTAGATCCATACTAAATAATTTATGTTTTATTTTTAATGATTATTTTCATTTAGTATTCATATTAACTGTGGATGTAATGTATTTTTTTTAATCAAATTAAAGTCAGTTGTATATCTATGTAATATGTTATTTTTAATTAAATCAAAACCTTAAATTTTATATTTATATTGGTTAATTAAATTTTATTTTAAATTTTATTTTATGTAATTAAATATTTACTTATCTATATTTCATTTATTTAAAAATATAAAATATTACTGTATGACAAATTGGTAAAAGAATACATAAAATTTTGGTATAAAAATTATTTCGAATTTAATTAAAAAATATTGTAATTATTTACTATAATATGTAAATACATTAAAAACATAAATTAAATGATAAGACATTTAAAAATTATAAATTTTAGTCACTCATAAATAATAAAGTATTAATATATAATTAAAATATAAAATTACATATTAGTCTTTACATAATTATAACAATGATCCATATATAAATTTAAAAGCTAAAAAAAAATAACACGTGCGAACACGTATAATACAATAGTAATTATTTTTTAATTAGATTATGTTTTTATAAAATATTTTAAATATAAAATGGACATTATTATGGTTTGTTTGTTTGGGGATTTAAATTTTAAGTTTGAATTTAAATAGTAAAAATTTTGAATTGAAATTGTGATATAACGTGATATAAATAGATATTGATGTGATATTAAAATGTAATATGATTTTTACTATGATATAAAAAAAAAAAAAAAAGGTATTTGATTTGATATATTTGTTTTTTTAGAGAAAAAAATTTGATGAATAATTAAAATTTGGAAAAGTCTTCCAAAAAACACACATGTTTACAAGAGAAAAAAATGATGAATCTATACAAACAAATGTGTATTTGATTCCAGTGTTTGAGTTTTTTAACAGTAAAAGTTTAAACTTAATAATTGTTTAATGTGCTATAAATATATGTTGACGTAATATTTTAAATTTAAAATTAATTTTTAATATAATATAAAAAATAAAAAATAAATATAATATCCGATAATTTTTTTTTTTTTTAAAAAAACACTGAATAGTAAAAATCTCGTAAAAAAACGAAAAAAGAAGGCTTGGATTCTATAAAACAAATGAATGAATTATTGATGTGTTTGTTTGGAGTTTGAATTTTTTATTTGAAAAAACCCAAATGTGTTATAGTTTAAATTCATTCTCACACTACCAAACCACCTTTGGGACTGTCTTGCTTATATATATATTGTTGTTTGTATATAAAAAAATTCAAATCATTAATTTTTAATTTTTTAATATAATAAATAAGAATAAATCAATTTTATTATTATTATTATTATTATTATTATTATTAAATATAAATCAATAAAATAACTATCTACACAACAAATAAAACACAAAAACATCTAATAAAATTAAAGACAGTAGATTATTCCTCTTTCTTTTTATACAAATCAGATCAAAAATGCAACTTTTAAAGTTGAAAAAAATAAAAAACACTACCATTTTCTTACATGTTTTTCTTCACTTACTTCTTCGTCTTTTCTGTTCCAATATTAAACAAACATAATCTAAAATATTATTGATAAGATTTTCTATATTAAAAAAATATTAAATCTTTTCAAAACCTAAAAAAATCTGAAAATTACAGTAATTTTTTTTATATATATATATAAAAAAAACATTATTTTTTAAAAAGACTCGTTACAAAAAAATCTATCATTCTTTTGTATGTATAATAACAAAAGATATCAAAACTATTTTATACATCTCTATTAATAAATAAAATATTATTTTTAATCTATTATAAAAAATAAAATAATAATACATTTACTTGGGACAAAAATATTACTACCCGTGGCGGATCTAGGATTTTGAATTTGGTAGGTCGATAAATTAATATAATTAAATTAAAATAAAAATAAATAAATATATTAACAAAAATTTATATTAGAAAAATAAAAAATTTGAAATTAACAATCACTTATACATCAAAATAGTTATAAATGTTCACGACGACATCTTATATTTTGGTATCAGCCGACAATAGCATCTATACTAACTTTCGTAAACACATCTCTTTATAAAAAAGTAACAAAACAATCATTTAATAATTACTCTTTCATACTATTCCGTAATTTTTTCGTGATGATAGTTATAGTTGAAAATAATCTTTCCACGTTTGCGGTTGCTATTTTTCCTTGTTTTAACAAATTCCATAGAACGTTCATTTCAAATTTTCAAATCTCAAAATATTTCATCGCATTAAACATCAATAAGGAAATTACCTAATAATGATTCGAAAATCATTAATTTTGCTTCTGACAATTCTGTAAAATATAATTATGCAAGTAGTTGTAATATCTTTTCATTAAAAGAAGAATGATATATTTTTAATTTAGTGATAATTATTATTATTTTTTAATTCTTTTTGGTGGGTCAATTGACCTTGCCTAATACTTCATCCGCTCTTGTTACTACCTCCATCCCATAAGAAAAGTACCATCACGATAGATATTTGAATATTAATTATTATATCAATACGTAATACAAATTAAGAGAAAATAACAAAAATATCTCTATTAGTCTTTATAATACAAATACAATGATATTTGTGGAGTAAATTATACAGATATAAAAATATTTTTAAAATGTTAATACAATGACATAAAAATAAATGGTGCTGATTTTATGAGACGGATGTAATATTTTAAAAATTACAAAAATTTGTGGTTATAGGAATTGAAATAATAAATCATACTCTTCTCAAAATTTTGGTATATAAATAATACATATATATATATAATATTTCTTCCATCCCACTATTGTGTTCATCTTGCTATTTTTATCCGACTTATATCTCATGTTACTATTTTTCCAAAAACAAATATTACATATTTTAATTTAATTTTAAAATTTTTAATTTATAATTTTTTAAATTTTGATTAATTAATTATTTTAATCTATAATTATTTATATTATAAAATAATTATTTTTAATAATATATTATTCATTATACTTTTTTAAATTTTTATATCTTCAATTATATTTAATTATTTTCTATTTTAGAAATTTCGCTAATTGCAGTACTTAGATGGAGTTGGTACATTGTAACTAACTTATAACCAAACTAACAGCACATTATTAAACATTATAATCAAACTTCACACCACACCCAAAACCCTTAAAAAACCCATCGATTCTTGAAAGTTTTGATGAAAGAGAAATCCAGAAAATCAAATTCTTGAAAGTTGAATCAATCCCATCATCATCATCATCCCTCAAGAAATCTAATTAAATAAAACAGATAATAAAAAAGGAAATCTGCATCTGCTAGAAACTTGATAAATCTGAAGAATTCCAATTATTCAGAATCAGAAACTAAAGCAAGTCCAAATTCAAGAAGCACGAACAGATGCAGCAGATCGTAGTAAAGCCAGTCAGTTACTTGAACAGTCATCTCAGAATCTCAGCCGTCAGAAAGGCATCTTCAATCTTAGCCGTCAGATCAAACAAAGCTACATACGCACGCAGAGAAAGAGAAAGAGAAAGAAACAATACTCACCTGAACATCCATGGCCGGCGAATCTCACGGAACGCCCACGGATAGTTTTCCCTATTCCTCTGATCCTCCTCGAGAGTAAAACCGACGGCGACGGTGACGCCGAAACCTGCCCTAATTTGATCGATGCTGAGAGATCCAAACCGCTGGGTGAGCAACGAGCAGAGATGCTCGTACAAATCTTCGATATCCAGGAGATACGCAGCGTAGGCGACATGGTAGATGAGGAACAAGTCGTCGGATTCGCGGAGGAACTTGCGGTTGTGAGTCATCTGTTCTTCGCCGGAGGTCTGCGCTTGTATTTCTAAGTAGTTGGCGATTGTGGACATGGCGGTGATTTCGATGTCTTTTATGCGGGGGTCGATGTATTTGCAGCCGTCTCTTACGTATTGGAAGAGCACCGGAGCGCATTTGATGGCGCGGTAGCTGATTGTGACCGAGCCGCCGGAAATTTTGACAACGATGAGTTGATCGTCTGTGTACCTCATTTTTTAGAGAGAGAGAGAGAGAGAGAGAGATTGACTGGGGGAGGAGACAAAGTACGGGTTCGCTTATCGATAACTATCAATTACTTACCTTCCGCCATTTATATTTAATTTTTTATTTTATTAATTTTTTATTTTAAAAATAAATATGGCGGGAAGGTGATTGATCGAAAGAACACAATACATTGGGTAGGATAACTGTATCTATCCGTTGTGTGTATTTAAATTTTTATTTTAATAATTTGTTATTTTAAAAATACATATGACGGGAGCGGATTAGCTAATACAAAAAAGACACAATACATTGAAATAGAGTAACTGAATTCATTCGCAATGTGTATTTAAATTTTTATTTTATTAATTTTTTTATTTTAAAAATATATATGGAGGAAGATTATTAATCGGTATAAAAAGTACACACTATATTGGAATAGGGTAATTCAATTCATTCCTATGTATATTAAAAATTTTAATTTATTAATTTTTTTTTTTTAAAAATGCATATGGTGAGGGTGATTTGTCGGTATAAAAGAGACACTATCTTTGGGGTAGGATAACTGAATCCATTTGCTATGTGTATTTAAATTTTTATTTTATTAAATTTTTATTTTCAAAATACATATCACGGAAGGTGATTGATTGGTATGAAAGGACACGGTACGTTGGGGTAGGATAACTGTTTTTTTCCATCCGCCATGTGTATTTTAAATTTTTATTTTATTAATTTTTTATTTTAAAAATACATGTGATTGTTTGGTAGAGAAAAGACACAATACATTGAGATAAGCTAATTGAATCCATCTGCCATGTGTATTTAAATTTTTATTTTATTAATCTTTTATTATAAAAGTACATATGGTGGGAGGTGATTGATTGATATAGAAAGGACACTATATATTGGGGTAGAATAACTGAATCCATCAGCCATGTGTATTTAAATTTTTATTTTATTAATTTTTTATTTGAAAAATATATATGACAGAAAGTGATTGGTTGGTATAGAAAAGACACGGTACATTGAGATATGGTAACTGAATCCAGTAAAGCACGGCATGATGGAAAATTCCATATAAAATTTTTATTCTTTTTATGTCTGTTGTCGGTCCACGTAATTTATTACTCTTTCTCTTTTCGTCCCGAATTAAAGGGGTCTTTTGGGTTATGTTATAAATTAAGAAAGAATAGTACTCCCTCTGTTCCATTTAAAAGTTATCATTTTTCATTTTCGTCAGTCCCAAAACAAAGTTACTATTTCCTAATTTAGTAATTGTACTACCTACTTCACATAATAAATACCCTTTCAACTTACAATATATTACACAAATGTCATTACTTTTATATTACACTATACTAATAGGGTATTTTTGTCTTTTTTACTACAATTTAATATAATACAAATATTCAAAAATCTACGTGCAAAAAACAAACACCACCCTTGTTGCGGGACGGAGGGAGTAGTATTTTATTTGTTAGTAAAAGTGTGTAACTTTTTTTTTTGACACTTTGCCCTTTGATTTTATGTATAAAATAATTGTATATAGGGGAGTCAAAATTAAACCTGACCCGAAAAAAGCAAATCTGTTCGACCTGAAATTTTACAGATTCGGATTTGGGTATTTCAGGTTTGCAAAAAATCGGGTCGACCCAAACTCGAAATGAAAAAAATTCATGTCGTGTTCGGATCGTGTTTCGGGTTGACTTGAAATTATTTATTATTATTATTATTTATAATATTTATATTATTTTATATTTAAAATAAAAAATTAAAAATAAAAATGAAGTTTGTTAAGGGTAATTTAACTTTTTTTAAGTTTTCGGGTATGTTTCGTATTGGGTTCGTATTGAATTTGTTCGAGTTTCGAGTAATCTGAAACTAATTCAGGTCAACTTAAATCCGATCCGAAAAAAATTTGTGTCGTGTTCGGGTCGTGTTTCGGGTTGATCTAAAATTATATATTATTATTTATATTATTTTATATTTAAAAAAATAAAAAAAATAAAAATAAAAATGATTTTTTTTAAGGTTAATTTAATTTTTGTAAGTTTTCGAGTTTGTTTCGTATTGGGTTCGAATCGAATTTGTTCGAGTTTCGGGTAACCTGAAACTAATTCAGGTTAACTTAAACCCGACTTGAAAAAATTTCGTGTCGTGTTCGAATTGTGTTTCAGGTTTACCTGAAATTATTTATTACTATTATTATTTATAATATTTATATTATTTTATGTTTAAAATAATAAAAAAATAAAAATAAAAATGAATTTATTTAAGATTAATTTAATTTTTTAAGTTTTCGGTTTATTTTGTGTCGGATTTGTGGAGAGCAAATCAGATCTTTGAGTTAATACATGATGACATTTTTGGGCCAATCAATCCTGCCTTAAATAGTAATAAAAGGTATTTGAACACTTTTATTGATGATTTTTATTCGAAAAGTGTGGGTATGTTTCTTGCCTGAAAAGTTAGAAGCATTTACTACTTTTAAGCATCAAATGTTAAAGGCCTTCATACTGATCGTGGAGGGGAGTTTATGTAACAAATATGATATTAAGAAGTCCGGTAAAGAATGACCTGGTGGTGTAGACTTTATGATTCAATTCGAGTCCAATTTTTCTATAGTTCATCAAAATCCTATTTTGTTTTTCATTATCTTAGTTTTTAGGTTGTTATTTATCATTTAAAAAAAAAAAAAATCATCTTTTTAATTTTATTATTTTCTATTTTTTTAATGTGTATTTTTCTTTATTTTTTTGCAACGGAATATTAAACCATATTATTATGCTTTCCAATACTTTATCAATAACTTTTCCATCATCTTACTTTTTTATTATGTTATTTTGTAGTTTTTTTTTTACTCATTTATTTATTTATTTTATTTACTACAACATAATTTATATTATCTAATTATTTAAGTTTATATTGCAAGATAATAGATAATTCAAGTATAATAGAATTAGTCATTCAAGAAGATAGTATTCGAGAGAAGGGGAATGATCTTTGTGGAGGTGATATTTCATTAAATAACCGCGATGGAGCTAAACACATGAAAAATATAAATACCGATGAAGAAAAGGATAATAAAAAAGAAGATAATAAAAAAAAATTATAAAGAAGTTGAGTGCGAGTAAAAGAAATGTCATTTTGAAAAGAAAAAGAGAAAGAGATGTTCAAAAGCTTATGCATATTTATTGAAGTAGCTTTCGATGATGAAGTACAAAATTTCAGTGTATACATTGCAAGACTTCTATGGCTAAATCAGCATCGGGTATAATATCTCATGTTTGGAATCATTTGAAGAAGTGCTTGCAAAAGAAGTTTTATATAAAAAAAACAAAAGACTTTGCAACTTCAGCTCGTCCAATCCAAAATTAAATTAAGATTAAAATTTTGTCGGATGGTAGATATGATCATTTGAAGTAAAGAGAAATCGATGAATGAGCAACCATTTAGTGTTATGAAAAACTATGATTTTACTTATATGCTAAGTACAAACCAACTAACAAAAAAATTAGAAGCTTTTTCATGCTACCAAAAAAAAAAAAAGAAAAAAGGATATTATTAATATTTATGAAATAAAGAATAAAAAGTTGCATTTATGTTGAAAGATGTCAACAAGATTTCCTTAACTACAAGCATTTCGAAGTCAAAAGTGTAAAATATTTCTTATATGTGTGTTATCGGCCACTTTGTCGATTCACATTGGCAACTCCAAAAGTAACTTATTAGTTTTTTTGCCTCTCCCTCCTCCACATACAAGTAATGTAATAATTTTTTTAAATACATATATATTTATCATAGTTAGTAACAATAATTATATGTTTATTGACAATTTTAGGTGTTGATAATTATGATAGACTTATAAAGAGTAGGGGGTTGGTTCGGTACGGCATACCGAAATTTATACCGTATACTGTACCGAAAATTTTGGTATGGTAATTCATTATACCGTTACCGAACCGAGAAATCGGTACCGAAATTCGGTATGATTTATATTTTATACCGTACCGATTATTGGTATACCGAACTATGTGAACGTTATTGGTATATACCGATTTATACCGAAATACCAAAATTTAAACGGTATCGATTTATACCGTATTATATCGAAATATCAAAATTTAAACAGCAGATATATACCGTATTATATCAAAATACCAAAATTTAAATGGTATTGACATATACATTATTATACTGAAATACCGGAATTTAAACAATATCGATATATATCGCATTATACCAAAATACAAAAATACCAAATTAGTATGTTTTATTTACTATTTATAATTATTAATAATATATTACCATATATTATATAAAAAATAAATAATTTCGGTGTTTCGGTAAATACAGAAAATATCGAAATATAAAAAATAATTCGGTATGTTGGTGTTTTTGGTATATACCAAAAATACAGAAGAATTCGAAAGTGCATACCATTACCGTACCAAAATTTATACCGAAATTTTGGTACTTTCGGTACGATATATGCGGTATTTCGGTATATTTTTCCATCCCTAATAAATAGTAAGAAAAAATGGGGAATAGAACATAAAGTCTTCGGTATGACTGTGGACAATGCTTTCAACAATGATTTGGCAATTCGAACTTCTAAAGAAATATTTTCTAAACGTTGTAAGTTGTCGTTGAAAGGCCAGTTGTTTTATGTTCGATGCACTGAACATTTGATGAATATTTTTGTTTAAGATGGTCTTTCTAAAATTATACAGCTCATTGAAACAGAAATAATGTGTGATTTATATATCATTTTGAGTCTAGGTTGAGAAAAGTTTCTGATACCGTGCATCATTTGAAAATATTGAATAAAAAATTGATAATTGACTGTCCAATTTGTTGAAATTCTACATAAGAGATGTTAGTTGAAGATTTAGAGTTAAGGATGCATTCCCTATATTTTCACAAAGAAAGTCTTCGTAAGGATGCATAGTTAACTTTAAATGTCTCAACCAACATCTCATATATGTAGAATTCCAACAAATTGGATAATCAATTATCAATCTTTTAATTGATATTCCCAAATGATGCACGGCATCAAAAATTTTCTCAACA